GTTCATGGGCTGAGAAGAAATTGATTGGTTTGTGAAGTCACGTGACCTATCGTCGAAAAAGGGCTATAAATGCATGATCTAAATGGGGAATATCTTGCATAATATGCTCTCTGAATGAGCTAATTGCATTGAATTTGTGCCAAAATTACATCCCCTTTATGAAAAAATGAGCATATCATGTTACAAGATGCAGAGGTGCTTACAAGGAAACATCTTGTCCTCTTCTAAGGTTATCACCACAAGTCGTGATACATGCGCCCTTATGAATTAAACATGATGTAATTACCAGCCAGCCTATCTTAGTGAGCGATTCATCTTTATTACTTTGAGGTCTGTAAGGAGAAATTAGATGCTGGTAACTCTTACGGCATAGGGGAAGCTTCGATAAAATGCCTGATCATAACCCAGCGCATTACTTCTCGGTGAATCCAATTTGCTACAAATGAATTTGAACTTGACAAAATTTACTTGACCGTTGTATCAGATGAGTTACAGAGTCAAGGAAGAGGACACATGGAAACAGCTGATATTGATTCTCTATGGCGGGAGGATTCTATTTGAGACAGTTTGCATCATGAATTTTGCATGAAGTAGGTGCAATTGTCATCACGCCCACTCGCGTGAGTTGTCTTGCGCAGTTTTTGCAGTGAGCTTTCGGTTTGGGAGGAAAGATGTCCAAGGAGAAGAAAATGAGGCAAGTATTTAACCAAAAATGATCCCTTTTAGCTGGATGTCTTATTGAAGCGAAGATTCTATTTCGAAGGTAGTTTTGCGTGATTTTTACCACCTCATTTGTTGCCCGTGCCTACTGACTATTGACGATCAGCGTTTTACTTCCTTTTCAAGCAATCTTTAGAGTAACTTTGAGAAAGTTTTATGACAAAGCGACGAGAAAAGTAAATCTTTAGACTAATGTGCGTTGTTAGAATCAAGCAATCGATAGTATTGAGTTTGTCTTTGTCTGCAGTTAACAAGAGCCTGAGCTGAACAGTTTCCGGCGAGACTTAAAAGTTTACCCTTTCGCTTTCGAATTTCCATCTCATTTGTTTTCATCGTGTTTTCCTTTTTGAATATATTCATAGATATTGAATAGTTGTTATTAGGCTTTTACAGACTAGCTATTCCAGGCTGACATTACCTATCCGCGAGCAAGGGAAATTGTTATTGCGTAAATACGAAAATTGAAGATGAAGATCATTCTGGATTTTGAATTCATTCTTTCGTAGGACTTCCGCTTTCTCTTCCATATGTACTTCATATTTCCGATTGTTTTACTGCAGCCTTTGAAAGATCGAAAGAGAGTCTTTATTTAGATCAATATGTATCATTTAAGGTGTATTTATCCATTACATTTTGGAATAGAATGTTATAGTAAGGGTGGGATGTCATTTAACAAAGATGAAGGAAACTTCTCTACAAATACCACTCTAATTACTATTCTACTTTGCATGATCTAAGACGATGCGTTTGTAGTGCAAACTACTGGGTGCAATTGTAAAAATTTGCAATAAGCTTTAAGTTTCAATGGATGAGTTGCCAATAATCGGATCCTTGTGTTTGCACAAATATTTTTGGAATCGCCAACGGGCAAATATTGCAAATTGCTCGAAGTAAATATGAGGCGAAAGGTTGTTTCGACGTCCAAAAATATAATTTTGGAGAGAGATCAAGGTTTTTTCGCCACAGTTTTATGATAAATGGATTAAAATACTGTTAATTAGAGGGTAGTGTAAGTTTTTTGTGAGAATAACTATGAAATATGATAAACCTCTCTCCTTGTGTAAGCTCTCAGTACTGTGAAATCGTCATGGCGTAACGGTATAGACATATTACAAAATCAGCTAAAATCGTCACGAAATAACTCATGCGAGTCTTTTCAGCTGTATTTATGTGTGTACAGTCTGTGTTTTTACTCGTTCACGTATTAAATAAACAAGTTACGGCGTCGGAAAATATACCCCCTTAAAGGAGAAGACGTCGTCGGTGGAGATGGAAATTATTTTTACCGAGCTGTTGTCCTTTGAAAGGATGAGATAAGCGAGCGAGAAACATGAGGAAATCCCTTGGTCAAGTGACAGTTTGAGAAAAATCCAAAGGTTTTTTAGGCTGCTACTTTACTTCTCAAACCTCTCGGAGGAGGGCTTGTCAGGAAAAGCAACTTGAGATCACGGAAACTCCGGCAGAAACTGTGGACATATTCAGTGGTGCATCACTCCTGAAGCAAATTATTAGTACCCACTCATCGTTGCAAAAGAGTGGGTTCAGTTTCCAACCGATCGTCAACGCTGATTCATTCTCATCAATCACAACAAATCGGCAATGTACGTGTTTAATCACTTTAATACCGTCATGATAATGTTTAATGCTCAAGCAAACCATTTCAATCCGCTGCCGCCTCAATTTAGGTGGCTTTTGTAGAGCTAAGTCTGCGGGCCTTACGCCTAACGAATGGGTTATACGAATTCGCTCTAGTGAGTTATTTCTTGGCGATTTATTGCTAACTTTTCTGAATTACGCGATTTTAAGTTCACAATGAACCATAATTATGCATGGAGAAAAGTTTATCGGTAGATGTATCACATATTTCATGGTTACTCAAACAAAAACTTACGCTTCCCCTATATCAACATTATTCGAATCCATTTTAAACTGAAACGGATAGTCCACAAAAGTGATGGTCAAGGCAGTTTGAAACATCATATCTTTTGGTAAAAGAAACCCACTTTTCTTTTGTTTCTTTCTCAATATGATCGCATTGAGGAAGGATTAATCTCTGTAATAATCCAAGGGACTTCTCTGCGAAGGCTTTAACAAAGTTGTAAACCTCAAAGGTCGATCACATTATCGTTTTCAAGTAAGGAGGGTGAAAAACATGGAACTTTTTGCAAAGGTCTCGCGCTTTAATTTAGTCTGAATTTTTGATGCCCTGTACAGCCCTCCTGTTTCATTCCGAGAAACGACGCCTTCAACAATAACCATCTGAGAAAAACAGACTTCCATCTTTTTTTTTCCAACCACAGTTGGCATTATTAATGTCTCAACCTGATTTGCCAATTTGCGGTTGTTTATATATATATATATATATAAATACAGACACCGCTGCTCACGTCAAAGTGTCACAATGGTCAGGCACTGGAAGCATCCTTTTATTTGACATCCATATTGCGATGAAAAACAAATCGACAGTGACTTAGCAGGGCCTGTACTCTTATCGACAGCGATATTCGTCATCACATCAAAACTGTTTGAGTCCACAACATTTTGACCCTTGTGATGTGGAATATCGCTGTCGATAAGGGTACAGACCAATTGTCGATTGTAAATTGCAATTTTTGTGTGATATCCTGAAACGAGGATCAACTAATGATGCGAGAAGTCATTCGAGAGCAAAGTGACATAATTAACCTTTTACGCACTAACATCAGTATGCATATTCTCCCTACTCTTTTCTATATATTTCCTTTGGTACTGACGGGGAGAATTGGTTAAATCAGAAGCCATTCACTCCTGGTTAAACAGGTCAATTAAAGGAGTCTCCTATGTTGGCTATCATTCCCTTATTCCCGTGATCTTAGTGAATGATTCAGCAGTGTCACTGATCACTTAAGACCTTCGTTGAAATGTGTAATCATTGCCCGGAGCAATATTTCTTGCTGATTCAATTTGCTCCAATCGACTACTTGACCTATAGTTGAAAAAGTTTCCATCATGAATTTTACACGAAGTAGTAAGTGTATTCGTAATCGCATTCGTAATCGCTGCAGTGCATTTAGTTCGGGAGGCAAGATGTCCGAGGAGAAGAAAATGACACAAGCATCAAACCAAAAGCTGATCCATTTTTAGGTAGATGTTCATTGAAGCGAGGATTTTACCTCGAAGGCCGCTTTTCGAGTTTTTTAGCACCCCATCTTTTGCTCGCGCGTACCGTCTGTTGACAATCAACCATTAGACGTTTTTTCGCGTCCTTTTCAACAATCTTTTGAGTAACTTTGAGATAGTTTTGAGGACAAAGCGACGAAAAATAAGTGCGTCTTTAGTCATATTATTGCAGTTACCGGTAAACCAGTTAAATGAGGTTCTGTACAAATTCGGTATTAAAATTAATGACATCCTTGTTGCGTCTGTATCTCTACTAGGCTCCCATGTCCCGTTATTCCTGTCAATGGTCCAAATCAAGGTACATTTGATTACTATGTCCTTGTTTGTGAAGATCTTAAATGGGATCTCCCAACATGGGATTTTCTGAAGACACCAATTTTGGAAGCAGCAAAGGTATTGATCCATCTGTTATGTTAAACTCTCTTCTTTCTTAATGCATGATGTCCATAACAATTTAACCCCCCCCCTAATCTTTCTGGTTTGTTCACTCTTTCTCACCAAATACACAATCATAATACCCGATCTTCATCTGCCGGTAACTATTACATAAACTATTCTAGGCTAAATCAACATAAAAACTCATTCTCAAGGAATGGTTGTAAAATTTGGAATAACATCCCAGGAAACTTAAGGAATGTTCCAAAAGATATTTTCAAGAAAAAGCTAACAATATTATTTCAAAATCTTCAAGTTCAAGATAGTTATGTTGACGTAGAACGAATAATCAATGATGTGTCAAAAGTTAAATCCAGTTAATAGTAGTGTATAACTCATGTATTCCTCTATTTATTGTCATGTCTTTCTATTTCTGTATTTTTATCTCATACTGTCATTTCTGCTTTTAAATTAATGATTTAATATTTAATTTCTGTTTCTTGTATATTTATTGAATCTTTTGTTGAACCGAGATTTATGTAAGATGTTTTAGCATCCACACACTACCTGCTGAGACTAGCTATGCTATTTGTGGGTAGTGGTTGATTATGTAAAGTTAAGTTTAACGCCATTAGAATAAATGAATAAATTAGAATAAATTAATTAGAGTAAAGAAATATGATAAAAACCAAAAAAAAAAAAAATGTTCTGTAGAGTGCTAATTGTAACATTCCTTGTTAATTATTATGTAGTTATTGACTGAGTGCCAGGGATGGACAAATACAATATTTGGCTTGAACAAATTAAATTAAGATCAGTGCAATTCCCGGTTACTTTTGACACTCTTTGAAAATGTCTTTCACTACAAAATTACCTCACTCACTGTTTGAGAAAAAATTTAATTTGTACTAGGTGGATAAAGCTGTTGGAGTTGAGACACTGGTGTTTTCCTGTGCCCAAGACTTGCCAGTGGTAAGTTTGCTGAAATTTTCAATAAGGTGCATGGAGCTTATGAACAATATAATTGTAGAGCTGTACTCTGGTAATATCAATGGTCTGCATGGCAAGCCATAATCATTTTCAGTGAATGGGGGTTTCTCAAGGTCCAGAGGTTTTTTTACCTTTCTTCCCCAAGAGTTTCAGAATTTTAGGCTCCATGAATAGTCTGCTCTTATTACAAGTGGCCATCTAAGGGGAGCTGGTGAAATCAGAAACTGTACAGTGGAGCAATAGCTTGGAACAGTCCAAGGAATCAGCAGCTATATCAAAACCTAAATGAATTCAAGCATTTATCCATTAAATTTGATATTAGCAAAATAAATTTTGACTTGATTGTAGCCAACATTAAACATAAGGACAATAGTTACGAATATTATTAAAAATTCAATTTAATTTAAATAATCAAATCGTATTAACAAAGATTTAGTAATATATAGACAGGTAAAAACAAGCGATATTAAATATCCCAAAGTTTCGATGACTTCATGACGCCATTATCAAGGGTACAAATGAAAATAAAATTAACAAATGCGAGTTCTAGAGTTACAACTAATTTACATAGGGGAGGTAGCTACACAAATACTTTGGCACGAATGGAATTCGTTTGCTCATTCAAACTCGGTGTCAATTGTTTGATGTAAAGCATCTCATTGACAAGACAATCAAATTTGTTCATGCACTTCTTGAGAACTTTGAAACAGCTAAGAAGGTCCTCAGCGACAGCAGCTGGGTGGTCGTTGTCCTAGTGCTTGCGTACTGAAGATGACGTGCTCTTATGGCTATCCACACAGGCATATAAATGCCTGTGTGTGTAACCAACATAGCTCCCTGTATCACACAGGTTACATTTAAATTGGTACACTACGCACTGTTGATTAACCAGCTGTGGTTTGGTCTCACACTCTTTAAGGTCTTGGCCAATTTTCTGACTGACAAATATGGGTTTGGAGCTTAATGCTAAGGTCTTTCAACTGTGTCTTAACAATGTTAGCAGAGTCTTGGTCCTTGAACTCGCATTTGTTAATTTTATTTTTATTTGTACCCTTGCTAATATAGCGTCATGAAGTTGCTGAAACGTTAGGATATTATATCGCTAGTTTTTACCTGTCTAAATAATCAAATCAAGTGGAGAAACATTTTAGGAATTGTATAATTAAATATTTTAATATTTTAACTGTTTAATAGCTATTTATGGTTATTATTAGTTAAATGCACCACCCACCAGATCTGCTAAATATTTTATTGTGGTCGAATAAAGTTATTCATGTATTCATTCATTTGAATCCCACTTTCCATTCCGCGAAGCAACTTGATGTAAGAATATTGGTACTCTTGAATGGGATCACCCCCCTGTCCCTTTCCCACCAGTACTCCATTAGGCCTCCCTGACAGGTTACCGCTGTACCTATTGCATTTGTTGGAAGATAGAGGTGCTGTGAGAGTAAGAGTGTCTTGCCTGAGAACACCATAGAATGACCGGCCCAGCTCTCAAACCCAGACCTAATTCAGACCTGGAGTCTAGTGCTCAAAGGCCACATGCATGGTCTTGCATAACTTGCTCTGAATAAAATCATATAAATCATTCGCTTTACCCAGGTGTATGCCCCAACAGGCCCCGTTTGTAGGGATTATGATGACGTAAGACGATACTATGATGCAGCAATAAATGGAACTAAAAGGTGAGTTAGTATTTACAACTTACTGTACATTTTCTTTCCTGCAGGTACCTGCTTATATGTGCATATAACTTTTTCTCTTAATCTTTATGCCTTTTTTTGTGGGTGAGACTTACAATAATTACCTAACTCAAGGTAACTACCAATAACACTGAATCACTTTAATTAAATTTTAAAATAGTTAGATTTTAATTACAGAAGTAATTAAGTAATTAAGTGAAAATGTGGGCCAGAATTGTAAAAACTATTTTATTTTCTCTGGTAAAGAAAGATGCAGGGTTTGTTCTGTTCACGCTACAAAATAACCTTTGCTCTCAGCAACGGTAAACAATCACTTTAATGATCTGACGAAAGAGTAGTACACACTTTGAATGATGACAGTCACTATAATATTTCTTCAAGCGAAAAGCACATGTTCTAGCACCCCATAATATTAACACAACAAATGTCCCCATTGGGGGTGGTCGCATTACAAGTCTAGTTTCTGCACCTGGGGTTGTGATGCTCTTCCACAGCGGATCCTGGCCCCGAGCGGGCTTGTTAGTTTTGCAGTCATATGATTATGTTTCAAATTGTATTCATGTCACTTTTGGCAACTAATATGACTTTGTTTTCATCGAATTTAAAATAATTAGTTTAGATTTGAAAAATAAGATAACATAGTCAAGGGTGATGTAAGGACAATTTAACTAATTTTGTGGATGCAAAGAAAAGTGTTTTTTTTCTGAAAAATTCACAAGAGATCGAGGCAACATTTGACATTAATTAAATCTAAGAATAAACTTGGCTTGCCTGGTTGAAGAACATGGGAAGCTTTTTAAAGCAAATTGAAAGCCAATTTTAAAAAAAGTCATGGTTTGTTTGAAAACTAGACCAATCAAAGCCAATGTGAAAACAAACTAATAATTTCCATTGTGCCTAGCATTCTGGAATTTGAAAATTAAGACATTCACATGAAAACAAAGTGCCATTTTGTATGTTAATACTGTCAAACTCAGCAAGGATGGCTATGGAATCACTCTGACTGGATGTTTTAAAAAAAGGGAAACTGCTTGCATCTCAGGGAAAGCCTTTTTTGTTTCATTTTAAAGGTCTGTAGTGCATAAAAATATATTGTGAGTCCTTAACTGGCCTGGCTGAAATGAGACTGGTGCAAACACTTCAAACAGACTCAGTTAAAAACTGTTATTATTTTCCAAAGGGCTCTAAAGGGTGGAAGCAGATGCCCACTTCTGGTGACCATTTCTAAAGACACATTCCCAAATGCATGGTCTGTTTCACTACTTGGAGCTCTTCATGCCCTCTATGTGGTAAGAATCAATTAGCATGTGATTTAGACATTATTTTTAGTCATAACTACATAAAAGCTAGGTTTTTAGTTTGAGGTGTGGTCAAATGACACCCAGAGATGTTTTGAATTCACTTGTACTGAAAGAGTAACAGAAAGGAAACATTTCATGGGTGGGGATGTATTGAATTTGCTTTTGTTTTTACCCAAAATTAAAAATCCAGATTTTAATCCTGCTGACTATTTGTACATTTTATTTATGATTTGTAGAGTTATATTTGTTCATATTCAGTGCTTTGGGGAACTTAAAATGTCTTTAGTGGGCATTTCCTTTAACATGATTACTGTGTGATGGATGTCCTCCCCTGGGGTGGGATGGGTGGGTTGGGGTTGGTTTAGGTGGGTGAACTTAGTAGGGGAGTGCATGTCCTATTGTTCTCTCACCTGTACACTGTACGAATCTATAAATACAAATACAAATATTAATACAAATACAAATACATGGTTGAACCTCTCCTCAATGCCATCTTTGGGACAGACTGAAGTGGGTGTTGTAGAGGGGTATAAGAGGTCTAATGAAACACTTTTTGTTCTGTTTATGGGTGGTAAATTTCTATGAAAGATGCTTAGTAAAGCATTTGAGTTTGTAACATAGTCAAATAATTCTCAGCATTAGAAAGAGAAAATTGATGTTCAGAAATAAAGACTTGCCAAAACAAAACAAGGTACTTTGGGTCTACAACAGTCTCCAGAATGTTTACTTTAAAAATTTGATATTCCAGAATTTTTATGTGGTTTTTCCTTTAATGAATTGAATTGTCTGTCTGAGGGAGTTGTCATGTCATTTCATAATCCTTTGAATTTTCCTTTATTTAAGTGAGTGAAGAATTTACTGAACAAAAGTCCCTAAGAGCTCTAACAGACAATTCTGATTTTCTTGTTTAGCCAATTGAACTAAGAGAAGCTTTCCCAGACAAGGAACAGAAAGTTGATCACCTTGGAGTGGTACTGTTTGGTGAAGTGAGTTGATTCAAATGAACTAATACTCTTAGCTTTAATAGTGCCTCTAAAAAAGGCCTTTGATGCTTTCAAAAATCAGAGTCTGCATGGAGACACTCTTTCGGTCAATGCTTTTGAAAGCATTCAGTAGCAGAGGGGTTTAGGAAGGCAGGTTGTTTTCAGGAGTTTGGTGCAAGCCAAGAAGTAATAGCAGTGAAAGCTCAGAAATTCCTAGGAATAAAAATAATTATGAACAAAGTAGAGAATATCAAGGCTGGTTAATTTGTATCTAAGTGACAATCATATAAACAGCCTCCAACACTGATGCTTTCAAGTCAGTGCCTTTAAGAGTTTTCCCAAACCAAGATTTGTTTTTCTTTACTCAGCAAAGTTTTTGGATTTCCATATGGGAAACAGCTAGCATAAAGTATTCCATGTGCAATGAAATGATGCAATTCAGTTCGTGTGCATTTCAATTGCTGGATATTTCGACAAATAAATTACTGTTTATAGAGTAACATCATTTTGGTCGCTCTGTCTATCTTTAGGGCTGCAATGTGGATTATATCAAAGCAATAGATTCTGGAAGGTAAGCTTGAAGAGGTGTATTGTAAATGTAGCAATCAAAACATTTTCGAGAATATGAAGTGACAGACTGTAGTTCTGTGCTGTATATTCACTTTAGGCCTCGTCTTCTATATAACTCTCCAGCCATGCCTCTCTGAGTCACAGCTCTGACCCTGCATATTCTTCCTTTCATACCTCCACATCCTCCTTTTCACACTGAGGGAGGAATGCTTCATTGCAAACCCTGAATCTCTTTTGTCATCAATTGGTTAATCAAAATTGAACCATTATAAACCAGACGTCAGACACAGCAAAAAATTCTTCTAAGTTTTCTGAGGTTATTGTCTCAGCGAAGTATCTGCAACAGTGCTCAATGGGTATCCTCTTGAAAGTGTTATCAAAATGAGCTCACTGCACTTTAATAAAATGAAAGAGAGAAGTGTGGATGGGATTTCACCAACTGTCATGTGGTTTGTATTGTAGGTATGTGTGTCAAGACATTGGTGGATCAGATCCTGAGAGGATGGCTGCCCCTCGAGTGGAGGAATACATTTGTGAACTATTCCAAGGTTCTCCTGTTAAAGTAAGATTCATTATTTTAATCTATCCCATTTACACTTTTTCCATAATTATTATTTTAGTGATGCAAAAGTAAAGTTTTTTAGTTGTGAGAGCTTTCAATTTTTTGGTCTTGAACAATTGTTGCCAACCTTGAAGGGCACAAGAATAAGGGAAATGATCACAAACTTAAAAGAAGTCCATGATTGTTAAACAGATTATCTTTGTCAGCATCATTGGACATGTATAGAGAGCAGTAAAGGGTTGAGGGCTCAACTTAAGCAGCAGCACATGTTAGGTCCTCTGCATGGATTCCTTCTGTGATCCTCTGCTTCCTTATTCAATTTAGGTGACGGTTGTAAAAGATCCAGCTAAGTTTGAGAAGGACTATCCTCTGTATGCAGCTGTCAATAGGTGTGCAAGGGGTAAGTAATTTGTCATTTTATTTCACATTCCATGTTCTTGTACATTTTGTACAATAAAGCCATCAGAAAAATTTGGTAAGAAAAAGGTTGTACCATCATGTTTCTACCCCTTGTCATTTACTTTTTGCCAATTCATTTTAGTTGTTGAGAGGCACACCGGCAGAATAATCAATTTGGAGTATGTGGGAGAAGGTGACATTCAGAACACTGTCCTTCTTGTTGGAAAGGTTAGTACGTGAGAACAACCTGTGTTTACCAGTCATTAAGCTGCCATTCATGAAGGCTATCCAATGGAAGGTTTCTTTTTGTCATGGCTCAATCATTTCTTTCATAGGACTGTTCAACTGTTTGCTGTTCCTTTTGTCTCAGCCTTAGTGACAGATGGACACAAAACTCAATCACCCTTGATACTAATCACTTCTACCATCCAAAATTTGCTTTTTAACTGTGCCTGTGTTAGTATATGACAAATTGTGACTTTATACAGTGCTTGACTGGTGCTGGTTTTAGGGCCTGTGAGGTAATGGCAGCAGATGACTCATTGTTGAAAAGACTTTAATTTGAGTACAAAAACTGTGCAGAAGGTGTTCAAGAACTTGTAATAACAAAGACAATTACAAAATGACTTTTGTTATTAATTGTCACCTGACAATTATGTGACCTGGCAACACTCTTTGTGGCATAATCTCTCTCTCTTGTATAGTTGTAAACCTCATTAGCAGAATGTTTAGAACTGTTACATAGGATCTCGAGATTAGTTTATGTTTAGAACCATTCAAAAGGATCTCAAGATTGACTGTGTTAAGAGCCGTTCCAAAGGACCCAGGTATTAGGTTATTTTTAGGTGTTTCGTCACACCTGTGCACCCATTGTGATAATTCAAATCAAGCTCAACCTCATCCAGTAATTGTTTCTTGTCTGTGTCCATTCCCTATATTTCAGGGTGTGACTTATGACACTGGTGGGGCAGACATTAAGGCTGGTGGAGTTATGGCTGGAATGAGCAGGTAAAGATGTTCTAAGTCCTTTCAACTCTAACAGTGACCAGCATCTGATTTCTCCTTACAGCAAACATATGATCACCAAGGGAAAAAGTTTTGATAATTGTTGTTAAACAAATTCTCCTTGTCAGCACCTAAGGAAATGTTTAGAGAACGGTGTGGAGAATATGCATACTGATGCTAGGGTGGTAAGCCGGTCATTATGTGCAATAGCACTGCAGTCATTTATGTTTGGTGGCACTATTATGGTTAGAAACTAAAAGGGCGCCAATTAGAAAGTACAACAAATCATAAAGAATCCTTAATTACAAGAAATTTTGAAACCAAAATAAAAACCCTTATTAGAATAACTGTTTGAATGGGTGAAGCAGGAGCAGCTCTGTAGAAAACAACTTGTTAATACTGGTTAGAGTGAAGGTTTTTTAGGGATGTCAACACAAATTAAACAACTTCAACAATGTTGTTGGCTCGCATACAAAATTAATAGTTCTATCATTCCTGTTTTTATCCAAAGTGTTGTCGGTGATACACGCATGCATTGATAAGTTATATACTCAGTCAATTACTCTGACGTAGGGCTATCACTTGAAACATCCGCAGCCAGTTGTATAAAGGGCAGATAATGCTCTCCAACGGATAAATCGCTATCCAGTGGACAGGTGATATCGCAAAGCGTTATCTAACAGATAATGCTCTCCAACGGATAAATCGCTATCCAGTGGACAGGTGATAT